TCAGATTTGAGACCTACTCCAGTGGGAAACCAAAGCACATCATGCTGTACCTACAAGACCTTCTGTTACACAGCCTTCCATTTATTTTTAAAATCGAATCCTTAGATGAATGGAGATTTAAATAACTAGAGGTTGGGTGTAACATCAAACTGAAAAACACATCTCGGGGTTCGTTCCAGTGTGAAGCCCCAGTTTTCATCTCAGGATGCACAAAATGACATTATTTAAAGATTGCTATTAAGACTATTTAATTCTTTGAAATTGAATGAAATGGAAAGAGACCTCAGCTGCTATTGCCATGGTAAAAACGCCAGCTCACCCTCTGCTTCAATGTGCTCTTTAGCTCCTTCAGCACAGTGTAAATGTAATTCACTCTAAGATTGAAAGCCACGGTACTGTCCTGAGTTATCAATCACCTTAACTTTAACGAAATCTGCCAAAAGCTGATGACCCTGTAGATACCGAATACAAATTGGACTCCAGAAGGATAAAAAAGTCACTGCAGGCTCCCAGACCGGGATGAAATTGATGTCATTATTCAAACACAGTTGAAATCAGGCTTTAAAGTTAACTCCCATACTCAACACATCACTTTTAAAAAAAAGCAGACTGACCTTAATACTGCAAAAGGCTAATCAATTACCCCTTGATTTTGTTTGACACGTGAAATGTATATCATTTTGCACCAGAAAGTCTTCAGTCAATGAAGCTTTTAATTATGCAACAAGCAATTTACCAAAACAGAACACATTTAGTCTCTGCTACTATCTGTACTTTCAGATAACCATGTCTGGCAATCCTCTCACGTAAGTTTAAGAATTCCAAAGAGCTTGCTTATAAAACTCATTTTATTATAGAAAGTGCAAGCCCATCTGCACAGTTCCATTTTCCCTGTAATTAATAATAAATGACAGACACAATTGGACTTTTTAGTGATCTCTAATTAACGACTCTTTTACAGAAATGGTAAGACCTGAGGGCAGTCTCGCAGTGCTGGGGTCCTGGGTTCAATTCCAGACCTGGTGTGCTCTCCGTGTGGAGTCTGTGTATTCTCCCTGTGTTCTTATGGTCTCCTCCAGGTGCTCTGGTGTCCTTCCGCAGTCCAAAAGTATACTGACAGGATAACTAGCTTAACTCTACTGATTCACCATTAAGTTAGTTTGGCAAATTTATATTATCTCTTCAAATACCAAACACTGAGCATCTGAACATCTTTATTTCAGTGTTTTGTTATCCCCATATACAGTACAGTACAAGAAGATGTCACACTGTAAAATCGGAGTAAAAAGGTTAGGAATTGAAGGAGAGAATGGGAATGTCGCTGTCGAGAGAGGCGAAATGCAAAAAGGGTGGATTTCAAAGGGAGAAGGCAGCAGGAAAGCAAGCCAGGCTGATGGCAACTGTAATCTATGGACCCGAGACATCAGCATGTGCTGTGTTCTCACCCTGCAGTAATTCACCGAGCTGAAACGAGCAGTGATTTGTCATCTGTCTGCAGAAAGGCGTGAGGGCACCAGAAAAAAACATCTGAACCATCCGAGTGACATTGAAGGACCATTGAGAATTAGTTGATCCACAGAAACCATCTAGCGTATTGTGCGTAACAAAGAATGCCCTGGTTTTCCTCCTGTACCTGCAATACTGTTCATGTTTAAATGTCTTCAATGTATCAGGTGGAGATGTGCTTTAAACGAGCTGTTTTTTTCTAACTTGTGTGTTCTGCCCCATGCCCCTCTTACTGACAGCCCTGTCTCCCCGCGCTGCTGCAGGTGGCCAAGATTAACCTGACAACAGCGCAGCGGCGTGAGAACCACATCCTGGTCATGGTGGTGTCCATGGTCTCCTGCTACCTGCTGTGTTGGATGCCCTACGGGATCATGGCGCTCATCGCCACCTTTGGCAGGGCCGACCTTGTCACGCCCACAGCCAGCATCGTCCCCTCCATCCTGGCCAAGAGCAGCACTGTGTTCAACCCCATCATCTACATCCTCATGAACAACCAGGTGAGTCCCAGAGGGCACACCCCCACTATCCCAGCAGCCCCTGCTGCTGACCATGACTTCGCTGCGGCAGATCTCTACGGTAGACCTGCAGTTTTAACCTGGATGGTTCCGTTTCCAATTTTACTCAGCTTTACCACGACTTTTACGGGTTGTTTCTAGTTGTTAAAAAACACACTCAGCTTCAAAGGAGTTTGATAACCCACAACCTCTGAAACTATATAGGTTGTGTGTGCTTACTTTTTAGGTTTGTTCTATGTTGTCTTTAAGCTTTATCATACAATTCCATTTTTCCATTAATTCACTGTGCCGTACTTTTACCTTGGTGCTGTGCAGAAATCATAAGTGAAAAAGGAAACAGCAGGAAAATGATTGAAATGAACAAAACACATAGACCAATGTGTCCCTAGCTCTGCATGCATCTGGAGGTACAGTCAATGTTTTTTCAGCGTCACACTGCTGGTTAGTGTTCTTAATCAGCAATACAAACACCACATACAGGCAAATGGGCCCTAGAGATTAGCTCTTTGAGGACAGGGACTGGGACTCACTGTATTTTGGCAATTAGAAACAGTTTTGGATGAGTCTGTCTAGGACTTCAGCGTGTCACAGTAGGCTTGGAGTCAATTATTAATGTAGCAGGAGTGACACCTGCACAGCACAATTTCATAGCTAATTTCAGTTCCATTATCACACAGGCAACCTGGAGGTGGGCAGCAGTCAAAATATAAATTACTAAAGCATAACACAAAGCCATCTTCTCCCCATCATCGTGGTGCTTCGCATCGATGTAATTATTTCTGTTTTGAAAAATAGACAAAAGGCAAGCCTGGATGCAGCCCTCAGCTGTCTGTAGCACATGCAGGCCTTGTTGTGTAGATAATTAGACATGCCTCCTACTGGAGTGCAGCTCAAGTGCAGGTTGTTTTGACTCACTCTGCGTTATTGTTTCTGAATCCACATGCGCTCGTGCAAATGTGAATGTTAGAGAGGGGAGCCGTGTTTGAGGCTTACAAAGGAAGAAGTAAAGAAAACTCCATGTTAAAAGGTAAAAAGACTTCATTTGTTATCTCAGAAGTCCTTGCAGGGTGAAATTAAAGATCACATACAGTATATAAACGATACACATAGAGGTTTTTTGTTCCTTATTCATTAAAAAAAAAAACGTAAGCCTTTGATAATTTATCTTCCTCTCACCTTTATTCTCACAAGACAAATGACATCTTAGCCACGGTTACAGCCAATCAGCCTTTTGTTGAGACAGCTCATTAGAGGATTATATGCGTTAATATGTGGCCCCTGCAGAGAAGACCAAGCTGCTGGCTATGAAGGCAGAAGCAAAAAGAAAGTGCTGTGAGCGCTCATTCTGAGATGAGAGTGCGAGAGAGAGCCGGGCTGCGAATCGATCACTTGCTGCTCGGCAATATGCACCGATTAAAAGGTTCAGAAATTTTTACTAATGTCATCAATCAAAAACAGGGTGGAGTTGTGCCAGTTGAGATAACAAGAAAGTGTATAACAACTGTCTACATGCATCTGCTGTGTTTGCTTTACTTGTGCCAAAGCTTTGTTTTGTTAAATGGGCTTCCTTCCTGCTATTGACATCTCCCCAGTCTCCCGGCACAATTCCTATAGTTGCAGCCAAAAAAAGGACATAATGCAGATAAAGGTATCAGCTTTGCCTACAGAGCCTAAGGCTGCAGGTTGGATTAAGGAGGACAGAACAACCATTTGTAAGCTTTCAGAAAGTTGGAACTGCATTATAAACCGAGCTGTAGAAACTGTTTGAGGGTTTTGGTGCAGCTGTTGAAACTGAGCCAATGCTTTGATTGATTGGAAGGCCTATGATACGCAAAGGCATCCCCAGGGCTAATGAAAAAGCTTATCACAGGGCATAAGTGATTATATAAATTAATAAGAAAGGATCTGTGTTAGGCACAATGGCTATTTTTTAAGTCTAGCTAGCTTTCAGATGCTGACCACAGTTAAAACCACAGTTAAAACCAGAAGAGATATAAATAGTGTGTATACAGTGCTGAGAAAAAGTCTGTGAACACTCTAGTAGGTATTCTCACATATTTTACACCAAAGATGTAATTAGATATAAGTGAACATCTTAATAAAAGAGGAAAACACCCTCATTAAACATATAACACAAAAACATAACATTTAACTGGATTATTTAACAAAATGATCCAACAGTAAAAATCCTCATGTGAATAGGTATATGAACCCTAGATTCAGTAACTGGTCGCA